AAACACAGACATACAGACACACAGACACACGGACACACGGACACACAGACACACAGACGCACACGAACACGCACACGCACACGCACGCACGCACACACACACATCCACACATCCACACACACACACACACACGCACACGCACACGCACACACACACACACGCACACGCACACGGTGCCGACTCTGCAGCTTTGGCAGTGATAGCTCCCTGGGAGACTCATCCGGACGTGCCTCGAGCAACGAAGTGCAAATCGGAGGGTGTACGGCTGGGCAGCCGCAAGGCTTTCGCGGCTCCTCTGCGTGAACCGCTTCCAAGGGAAAAGCTTAGAACATCGACTCGGAATGACTGGAGAACAATGTCGATATTATCAACGATGCTCGCTGGGAGGGGGGCAGGCTCCCCAAACCTGCTCCAGGGTGCGTTCTCACCAGAACTCCAAGGCGAATCTGGCAAGTGGAGATGAGAGGTCCTTTTCCGCCCTTCATCGCACCTGGATCCGAATCTCTTTCGCATGTCCCGTGAAGATACCCCCGAGCGCAGAGCGTCAGAGAAGCCGGAAGATCCTCAATCACGACCTGCCCCAAGACGGCTGCCCGCCAAGAGGCCCAGAGAGCAGAAATGAGGACAGTGGATCAGTATCGGTACGCTCTCTGCTCTGACGCGAGGGGCTGCCGCGGGTCGGACCGCAGACTTGCTGCCGCCGCGGAACGAGGTCGGAGCCGCCCATGGCGACGCAGTCCCACGGCCACCACTGGCGCGCAGGAACATGCTCCGTCGCCACGGGGCGGCGCCCGCGGCAGAACACCGGATGCGAACTCCCAGTGCGCGAGGCGACTGTGACCCTGCGGATCACCGCGACATATGTACAGGCACAGCTGGGAACGCTCAGCACTACGCCGCGGCACGCCGATCTGAGATGGTGATCCCGGCGGCCGCGCCAGGCATGCGCCCGCCCACCGCAAGGCAAGGTCAGCCTCAGCCAGTCATGAAGACCAAGGTCGGCCGCGCCGGCGACCACGGTATCCAGCCGCTTCCCCCAGGACGGCCCTCAAGGTCGCCGGACGGGCGCGAGAGGGCCACCACTGCACCGATGGTGCTCCTCGAGGCCTCGGCCTTCGCCGAGCGCGCCTCCGCCCGCAGGGCCTTGCCTGCGTCGCAGACACGGCCGAGCGCGGCGCCGAGGCACTCCAGCGGCGACGGCGGCTCGGCGGCGGCGGCGGGGCTGCCGAGCGCAGCCGCCTTCGCGCTGCTCGCAGGGGGCGCGCCCGATTCTGCGGCGAGCAGCCGCACTCGCGAGGCTCCGTTCGCCCGGAGCTCGAGCTGCGCGTCCAGCACGCCGCACTCCAGCACGAGCAGAACCCGCAGGCCCAGCGGGCGCCTGGGAGGCGAGGAGAGGCGCAAGGACAGGTGCACCTCGCCGTCGGCGAGCTCCTGCTCCTCCAGCCACAGCGAGAATCCGCCAGCGGACGGAAAGAGCCGCGGGCACCGCAGGAACGGCGTCACCAGGCGCCGAGTCGTGCGCTTCTTCGCGCCGCCCTCCCCGCAGCAGCGCGCGGAGCCGAACTGCCACACGGAGGCCGCCGCCGCCAACGCCCCCCGGAGCGAGCGCGCGGGAAGCAGCGGCGGCGAGGTGGCCGCCACCAGCCCGAGGCCCGTCAGAGCGGCGGACCTCTGGTGCAGCGGGGGCTGCAGCGCGGCGAGCGCCGTCCAGTCCGGGCCGCGCCCGCCGATGCCGCGGGCCAGGGCCGCGAGAAGCCTCGTGGTCTGCTCGGGGGCAACCTCCACGGGCCAGCCCGCGACCAGCGACCCCCGCGCGGCCGCGGCGAGCTCGCCCCACACGCCGGGGCCGCGGCGGCCGGCCACGGGGGAGGCGCCGCGGGCGCACGCGCTCCTCCACAGCTGGGGGTGGCAGGACGCCTCCGCCCAGGCCGCGCTCACCGCCGCGGCCGCCCCCAGGCTGCCCCCCTCCGCCAGGCAGCTGAGCACGAACCGCAGCGCCACGTCGGAGAGCTCCCCGCGCCCGTCGGGGCCCTCGACGCGAGCAGGAGGAGGCGGAGGAGGAAGCGGAGGAGGACGACGACGAGGACGAGGAGGAGGAGGAGGAGGAGCTGAGGAGCTGAGGAGCTGAGGAGCTGAGAAGCTGAGGAGCTGAGGAGCTGAGGATCTGAGGAGCGGAGGAGCCGAAGAGCTGAGGAGCTGAGGAGCTGAGGAGCTGAGGAGCTGAGGAGCTGAGGAGGAGGAGGAGGAGAAGGAGGAGGAGGAGGAGGGGGAGGAGGAGGAGGAGAAGGACGAGTAGAAGGAGAAGGAAGAGGAGGAGGAGGAGGAAGAAGAGGAGGACCGCCGCGGCGGCAGACTGCGGTTCTGGCGACAGGCCCACCGCCACTGCTGCGCCGCCTGCCACTGCGGGCCGCGGCTCCTGCCCGAGAGCGCCGCACCGCCGCCGCGGCCGCTCCGGCGCCGCCGCCGCCGCCAGCCCCGCGCGGCACGGGCTAGCGCCCATGAGGGCCGACCAGCCTGAGTGCGGCCAGCTAAGAGATCGTTTTGCACTTTTCGGCGGTCGCCCGAATCATTCGGTGTGGGGGGGGGGAAGTCCCTGGAACGTGCAATTTTTAGGCTAGCTTACTAACAACCGTGCAAGTACACCCGAAACTTGCATGTTTTTAGACCTTCGAAAAAAGGTGTTTTCTTAATAGCGGCCTTGTACAAACATCACTTTTCGGCGATAGCCCGGTTTATCTGGCACTGGAGGGAATGGGGGGGAGGCGCCAACCGATGCCTTTACCTTTTCGTCGCTTTGGGCAGCCCCACGTATGGCGGCGCAAAACAAAAAGTGCGTATCTCTTTCGCACCTGCGCAACCGACGATGTCAAGCTATCCTGGGGGAGGAAGGGGGGGGGGCGGGCCCGATAACCTGGGTGATCGGCGGACCGTAAGCCAAAAACGGTTTCCGTGTGCATGAGCCGAAGCGGCGAATCCTTGAGCCAAAGTGGCCACAGACCTGCCGGAGGAAAGGAAATGGGCGAGGTGGGGGGGACAAAGGTACCTTCTTGTGTTGGGCAAGTTGGAGGGCTTGCGTCGTTTGGCCGAGCCAACAGTGGCGACATCGGGCGCTACATTGCGCAATCGGCTACTTCGAGAAAGAAACGACAGTGTTTGCCAGCGCTAAACCTGGAACAGTGAGGGATTGAATTCTCAATGCGCGCTAGATTTGGTACTATCTATGGAATGATGTCCACTCTGCGGAACTTGAAGTCGTCATCTCCATTGCTCGCGCAATCATCCCACCCACCCACCCGCAACTTGGTTTGCAAAACCCTTGCGGGACCGAGCACAGATATTGCTCCGGGGTCGTCTTGGAGCCCTCGGGGGCGTCTCAAGAGCAACCCAAGAAGGCCGGAGAAGCAAGACGGCCGATGACGACGACGACGACGACGACGACGACAGCGGCGACGAAGACGACGCCGACGTCGACGACGACGAAGACGACGACGAGGGAGGAGGGAGGACGACGACGGCGACAACGACGACAACGACGACAACGACTACAACGAGGGAGGAGGGAGGACGGCGACAACGCGAACGACGAAGAAGGAAGGACGGCGACGCCGACGACGACAACGACGAGGGAGGAGGGAAGACGACGACGAGACGACGACGAGACGACAACGACGACCACGACGGCGACGAAATAGGAGGGACGACGACGAGACGCCGACGACGGACGACGACGACGACGAGGGAGGAGGAGGAAGGACGACCACGGCGACAACGACGACGGAAACGACCACGACGCCAAAGAGAGACGACGACGACGACGAACACGAGGAAAGACACAGGACGACGTAGGCGACGACGACGACGACGCGGGAGGAGGGAGGACGGCGACGACGACGACGACGACGACGACGACGACGACGACGACGACGCCGCAAGAGCGCGCGCGCACGCTTTTGTTGAAAATCCGTGTTGCGGAACCTGGTGTTTTTGTAGGTTTTTTGGACGCGCGATTTTGAAATCCTTCCGAAACCGTTGGGTTTTGAAGGATTTCGGCGTACGCGCGCGACGACGCGCGCGTCTGCACTTCGTCCCATTTTTTGCAGAGGATTCTCGCGACGGCACACGCGCAAGGGCGTTCGACAGATTTCGACATGCGTGCGTGACGCCCGTTTGGTAGCATGTTGTAAAAATCTTGAAAAAAACAATGGTTTTCTTAAGATTGTAATGGCCTCCGGCCAGTGCCGCCGATCCGGGGCGCTCCCGATGCGTGTGGGAACTGACGATGACGACGACGACGACGACCGACGACCGGGTCAACGACGGACGATGATGACGACGACGTCCCTCCTCCCCCCGCTGCCCTCCCCGGTTTCTTGGACCCCCCCCGCTTGAGCTCGACCCCCCCCTCCGTCCCCGCTCGAGTTTCCTCCTTGGACCCCTCCCCGCTTGAGCTCCCCCCCCCCCCGTCCTCGCTCGAGGTTCCCCCCCCCTCGATTCTTGGACCCCCGCCCCCGCGCTGCCCCCCCCCCGCTTGAGCTCGCGCCCTCCCCTCCGTTCGACCCCCCCCCGTCCTCGCTCGAGCGCCCCCCCCCTCGATTCTTGGACCGCCCCCCCCGCGCTGACCCCCCCCCCCCCGCTTGAGCTCGACCCCCCCCCCCCGTCCCGCTCGAGCTTCCTCCTTGGACCCCCCCCCCGCTTGAAATCGACCCTCCCCCCGTCCTCGCTCGAGCTCCTCCCCCCCCCTCCCTCATTCTTGGACCCCCTCCCCGCGTTGACCCCGCTTGACCGACCCCACCCCCCGTTCGACTCCCCCCTCCCTTCCTCGCTCGAACTCCCCCCCCCCTCTCGATTCTTGGACCCCCACCCCCCGCCCGCGCTGACCCCCCCCCCGCTTGAGCTCGACCCCCCCCCTCCGTCCCCCGCTCGAGCTTCTTCCTTGGGCCCGTCCCCCCCCGGCCTCGCTCGACCCCCCCCCCCCCGCGTCCTCGCCTCGAGTTCCCCCCCCCCCCCCCCTTTCGATTCTGGACCCCCCCCCGCGCTGACCCCCCCCCCCCCGCTTGAGCTCCGCCCCCACCTTTGCTTGAGCTCGACCCCCCCCTCCGTCCCCGCTCGAGTTTCCTCCTTGGACCCCCCCTCCCGCTTGAGCTCGACCCGCCTTCCGTCCTCGCACGAGCTCCCCCCCCTCCCCTCTCCATTCTGGGACACCCCCCCCCCCCCCGCCGAGTTCTCCTTGGGCCCCCCCCCCCGCTTGAGCTCGACCCCCCCCCCCCTCCGTCCTCGCTCGTGCCCCCCCCCCCTCGATTCTGGCCCCCCCCCCCCTTGCTGGAGCGTTCACTGAGTTGCGTGGATAATTCGCCGGATCCCCCCCCCCCGAGCGAAGCTTGAGCGAGCTCAAGCCCACGCTCTCAGAAACTCACACGCCGGATCGGCGGATTTCGCAAGATCTCGCGCGTAAGTTTTTTTCTGATGCGATTTAGTCTTACGAAACCCTGTGTGTTTTGTATGTTTTTGGGGAGCTCGATTGCGAAACCCTTCTGGCACCGAAGGTTTTTGAAGGATTTCGGCATGCGCGCGACGTCGCGCGCGTGCGCACTTCGTCCCATGTTTTGCAAAGGGATTCGCGAAAAAGTGCTATGCTAGAGCAAAAAATAACACCGCCGAATTTTTTTGGCACAATGGAACCTCAAGAGGGGGATACCGGCTGGCCTGGGACATTGTGATTTCATATTTCGGATGGAAATGTAATCAGAATCATACATGATTTACATACCCGAAAGGGGTAGCGATAACGCCGGGGGGGGTAGAGTCTATTCTCTTTTTAGAAAAGGAGCATATACGTGGTGCACTATACGTGGCAAGATAGGCTGCAACATGCGTGGTACAATCTGAGCGGTACAGAAGACGTGGCGCAAACGATGTGGAACCGTGAATGTTGGCCGCATCCGCGCGTAACTGCCCCCAGCGCTCGCGCAGACACCCCAGCCGCCCGAGCGCAACTTGATGGGGAAACGCAACTGGGCAACGACACCGACGCAGACAATGATGGCTCTTGGGACGATGTCGTCGACGACGACGACGACGACGACGACGACGACGACGACGACGACGGTTGTGGCGGTAATGAAGATTATGGTGTTGATGGTGGCGGTGGCAATGACGACGTTGGCGATGATGGTGGCGACGGTGGCGGCGTCAGTGACGGCGACGACGACGGCGAGGGCGATTATGCTGGTGTTGCTGCTGCTGAGGACGGTGGTGACGACGATGATGATGTTGACGTTAATGCTGCTGCTGGTGAGGACGGTGCTGTCGGTGCTGCTGAGGATGGTGGTGGGGATGATGATGGGGGTGGTGATGATGATGCTGATGATGATGACGGTGCTGACGGGTACGAGGATGATGACATGTTTCCACGAAACACACGCACCACGTTCCATCATCCATAATACTTGCCAGGGCGTGCCGCCAGGCGGGCACGCGTCCAATTGGAGAGGGAGGAGGAGGAAACAGTAGCAAGACGGGGGAGAGAGAGGAAAGGCACTGGCCCCTGACTCCCAGCAGCGCGGCAGGCTCCACCACCCGCGCGCGGACACTGTGGCGCCTCGCGCGCGGGGGCATCGACGCGGCCGCGTCCGCCAACGGTAGGCCACGAGCGGAGGAGGAGGGGCGCACTTGACACAGGGGGTAGGTAGAGTCTACGCCGCGCAAGAAGCGGCGCCTGCGCTCGCCACCCCTACCAGTGTCTGGGATTGGGGGATCGATTCACGGAGGCCCAGCTACAACGCTGATCCTTTCCCTGAACGAAAGCACGCAAGTCAACCTCATCGACAGGCGCGGGGTGGGCGCGGCGGCGGGGCACACGGGGGGCGGTCGCACTCTCTCGCGCGCGCCGCCGCTCGTTCCCTGACCACCCCACCCGCGGCCAGAAGTGCCCGACCCAACGCGGCGCCGCGGCAGGCAGCGGCAGCGGCGCCGCGGAGCAGCGGCAGGGGGGCGCGCAGGAGAGGGCGCACAGCAGCAGCAACAGCGACCACAGCGACAGCAGCAGGGGGGAGACGCGAGGGACACAAAAGCGAAAGCAAAAACGAGGCCCCCAACGGCGCACCACCCCGCAGGCGAGGGAGGCTGCGGCAGGGACAGGGAAGGAGGAAGACTTACAGCAGAGACCAGGATCCATATAAACATGAGACATGCGCACAGGGACCAACTCATAATAGAAAAGCACAGCGGCACCAGGAACAAGGCCAGGGCGCGGCCCACTCGGCCCCCAAGCACAGTGACCAGAAGCACCGATGCAAGGGCCACGGGCGAGGCAAGGAGCAATGCCCAGGACGCAGCGAAAGGGCCAAAACGAGGCACGAAGAGAACGCGCGCCGCCGAGGGCCAAGGGGCGCGGCGTAACCCTTCGGAACGCTTGGGGACGGCGGGAAGTCGGAGCGGTCCTCGCAACGCTCTCCAGGGGCCCGCAGCTGCCGCGGCGCGCGCGTCGCATTGCCGCCATGG